CCACACAGAAACACGCCACACAGCCCGACCTGGGGATCGAACCCAAGACCTTGCTGGGAGGCAGCAGTGCTACCACCATGCCACCCAGGTTCAAGTTTTGTTATTTTAAATGTTAAATAGCTGACTTGACGTGAGCAGAAAGGCTTGTCTTTGCAAATCATCACTGTTGCTCGTTGCCCACAATTTACTTAGACCAGTGTGTGCCCCTAATGACAGAACATTAGAAGCATTTTTAGTCAGTTGCCAGCCTGCAAAGAAAATGTGAAAATATCCTAGTGGTCCTAAGATCAAGATCTTTCAAGAGAAATATATAGTCTGCCAAAATAAAGCGAAATATAAACTAAGGCTGGGCAATTCAACCATAATTTTGGCTTATTACAATTATCAAACCGAGTCTTTGTGTTATAAATCCAGAGCACCCCTTTCCAGATCCATTTTATTTGTTTCTCAGTGGAATTATATTTATAAAGGAAATCCACTGTTAAAAAAGTTATTTTTTTTAAACTTCAGTAAATGCAATGAGTATTAAATATTATGATTTTTTACCATAGTCGAGCAGCCCTCATATAAACAAAAGATAGTCATCCTTTGGAATTTCTATTTTAGTATTGTTTTTTATCGCCAAGTGCTTTTACATAGAAGGAATTTACTTTGGGTGGGTCACGCAAAACAATCAAAGACAATCAGGACAATATAATAAATTATACATAGAAAATTAATATAGTGCGTAGTGCAGAGAACATGCATGGTGCGTGTGGCTGGATGGACGGACGGGAGGGGGGGGGGCATGGGGGGGACACCCATCCTGCAAAAGAGGGGCAGTGTTTTGTAGATGTCAGTACCATAAGAAAACAGCGTTCTTCCTTCTGTAGTTACTGTTTATGATTCCAGAAATTAAAAATGATGTAAAGGTCATCGTATTTCTTTCGTATTTTCCTGGGACACAGAGTAAAACTCTCCTGAGAGGTATGAAATAATTTGAGTGAAAAAATGTGGTAGAAGTTACTTTATGTATCCAAATCAGAAAAACAAATTGTTACAGTTTAAAGTGCTTCATGTAATTTTCTATAAATGTTGTCAGTATACAAAGTAGGTGAAGCTGGTCTGTATCGCCTATTGCAACATTCATCTGAATTGATATTAAAATGCCTGGAAAGGACACCTTTTACATTTCACCAATTTCTATGCAAAATCAGCTGAATAATATATTCAATGCAGCAGAAATCTTATCCGAACCCTTTGACACCTGTACTTTTAAAATAAATGATATCTTTATTAATTTGTGACAGTCTCATGCAAAGAGTGTGCCTTCGAGGTACATATGTGGTGTTTATAAAAACAGCCCTGAGAGAAAAGGGTGGATTGCCCTCCCCTGGAGGGGGTTGGGCTACTGCAAACAAGCATAGGAGTCTAAGTATCTTTGGGTCTTGTTCACGAGAGAGGGAGGAAGGGGGCAGGAGATTAACTGACGGATGAGTGCAGCATCAGCAGTAATGTGGATACTGTACCATTATTTTGTGGTGAAGAGAGAGCTGAGCTGGAAGGTAATGCTACTGATTTACCAGTCAATGTACGTTCCCACCCTCACCTGTGATCATGAGCTTTGGGTAGTGACCAAAAGAATGCGATCACGGATATAGGTGGAAGAGATTAATTTTCTCCGCAGGGTGTCTCGGCTCAGCCTTAGGGATAGGGTGAGGAGCTCAGACATTCAGAAGGGGCTCAAAGCAGAGCCACTACTCCTTCACATCGAAAGGAGCCAGCTGAGGTGGTTCGGACATCTATCTAGGATGCCTCCTGGACGGCTCCCTGGAGAGGCGTTTTGGGCTTGTCCAACCGGGAGAAGACGCCCGGGGCAGACCCAGGATATCTCTCAGCTGGCCTGGGAACGAGGAGCTGGAGGAGGTGGCTGGCGAGAGGGAGGTCTGGGCATCCCTGCTTAGACTGCTGCCCCTGCGACCCGACCCTGGTTAAGCAGCAGAGAATGGGATGGAATGGAAGCCAGGAAGGAGTCAACTCCACTTCCCAACCAATCACTAAGGGTCGCAGTCCATCAGCCAATGGACATAATCTGACAACATGACCCTGCAACACCTCCCCCAATCGGCTTTCACAATGCAAGCTTTATTCTCCTTCCCAGACTTGTTGATGTGCCATTGAGTTAAAAAAAAAAAAGCAGGACATCATAAATTCTGATCTGATGACATATTGTCAAGGTCTTTAAAAGGTCTTTAAAAGCATGCAATTCATTTTTAAAAAGGACATTTTTTGAATGCTTTCCATTCAGTTTTCCACAATTGGAATTTGCCTATTACATTTTATACCGTGGCAATGTAAAGGTTGTTGATTCATTCTCTTTGACCGCACTTGTAGCGCCAGCCATCTTTAATCTTAACTAATCTTACTCAAAATTCCAGACATAGAACACTATTGATGGCAAATGCTTAATCATCAGGAACGAAGTAGTTCTACTAATAGTTTTCATACTCTGGAGCACTGAGGGTTACGGTGCTGTGCTTGTGTCTGGACGGTGACTGTGTCCAAGCCCTGTGGAGAGCAGGGTGATCATATCGCTGTTGGCCTTTCAGCAAGGTCCTGAGTGCCAACCGCTCCAGGGACACTGGCTTTAGAAAAACTGGCGTGCAAACAAACCGTGGACAAAATCGTACGTCTGCATTGCATGACTGCCCAAGTGAGCAAGTGCTTTTAGGCGCAATGAGAGCATTAACACTCAGGACACCTCTTCATATGAAGCCAATGCCAAGAAAAGTAAGCAAGGACGACCACGTCGACCCTCAATCTGAGCTCCTGTAAACCATTAAGTCAGAAACACACTTTGTAATAAAATAACCTTTATTAGTGCAACATTATACACTGGAATGTCGGTATTCACTGAAGATCTGACATACATTCTTAACAAAAATCCTACTGAATATCGGTCCCTCCAATGGACTAGCTTCCCATCCAGGAAGTTCCACGGCCCTGCGCTCCCTGAAACGTTTCCAGGACCCCTGCGACTCTACATTCTGCAAGTGACTGGAAGTTGGGGTGAAGGAATGAATCTGCGCCAGACAGGGGGATTTACAGTGTCTCTGTATTGCACATTCTTTGGCTCATGGTGAGACAAACATGAAAAGCCGTCTACTTCCATGGCGATGCATCCTTCTGCAGCTAATGGGGGGGGGGGAGAGATTCCAGCAATCAGCGACAGACCTAGCATGACCTTCAATGCCACATTCATACGCATCCCACACGTCCCTCCATTCTTTGCATTGCCGTGCTTGAAATAGTTAACCATGGCCTACGATTCCACTGTACCTTGCTTAGTTCTGGGAAAAGCTCTTGAACAGCAATGTCCAGCAGGACGTAGGTCATCTGCAGGGCAAAGGGGAACAGAAAATCCAGAAAGCTCCGCACCTTAGAAGTAATCGAGAACGCTAACCAGCCACCTATAGCTCACCTGCTTGTTGAGGACCGGCTGCTGCAGCCCATCAAAGAGGAGACGGACTCCTTCGTATTTGGCCTCCTCGCCGATGCACTTTCCCAGCAGCTCTGAGGACATGAGGTACACAGCATTCATTCCCAGCATTCCAGAAGGGAACACAAACCACAGCATAATCAGAGGTTGCAAGCCCTACACTGGCAGAGACCTTTGTTAAAGTACACAGAACATTAACCCTTAGAACCAGACAAATGCAAAACGTGTTTGTTTTCGCACCCATTAATCTCGGGCCTTCATCTTTGGACTGGCACAACTCACAGATATGAATCACATATGGCCGGAATTGAGAGAAATTACTTGATCCCATCATCCAAGTTGAACACTAAAGTATTGCAGAGTAATCCTGTCTGCAATGAGACATATATTTTAAACATTTCCCACTAAAACACACCCCTAACAAACCATAAAACATCAATATTATTCACATTAGATGGAAAACAAAGTGCATTTTCGCTTTGCAAGGATCCACATACGTCTCCAAACACTCAAAAATGGGCTGGAGTTTTACTAGAAATAACAACTAACACAGCATTCTATTTATTAGCAAGACAATTGCTTTCATTTTCGTAATATTTATTCACAAAAGTTTGTATATGTGTATTTGATGTCGGGCTCCGTCAAAACAGTTGAAATAGAACATGCCCTTCATGTAACTGGAACACCTCCAACATGTAAACACAATGACGTACTGCAGCGTTGGTCTGCTGTTCGAGGCTAAAATGCAGACTGATAGGTATAACCAGATATATATAACCATGCATTGCTGTCTATCACATACCTTCAAGTTACCAAATGGATGCAAAATCAAAGGTACTTATTTCTGCCGAGCACTAACCATGTACAATGCTGAGCCATTGAAGGTCCCCAATGAAACCCCTGCATTCCCACATCATATAGATTCTAATCCCAACATTTACATTATATTTGTAGTGCCTGCAACTTTTTATATTAGATGAGACAAGAAATTGAGAAATTTCAATAAGCGCAAGTAGTTTTTCTTCATAAAAAGGATGATATCAAGACTGTGTCAGCATTTACGCATCAGATTATGACATATCTGAGTAGCCCAGAATGTCCTGAACACAAAAAACAGAGAGAATATGTGGCTACCTCATGTGCATTCCAAGTAATACGCGTAAAATCAAAGGTGTAGAAAACGTTTAAAAATGGAGGGTTGAAAGGGTTACAAAAGCATGAATCAAACTGGTCCAGTGGGAGATGGTTTCCCGTCATACTGGTTGTGCCTTTTATTGCAAAGCAGACCAAAAATATGCATTTGTTCTCTCACAATAAAATGCCTGTTATGAGTATTTCGGGTTTTCCACTACAACTGAGAAAAGGAAATGGAGAATATGCATAAAAAGTCAGCACAACCAGGGAAAGACTCGGAAAAAAAACATAGGAACCGAAGCAGCATTAGCATAGATATTCGGCCCCTAATGAGAATCCGAACAGGGACAGCAGCAAATCTCCAGGCTGCTTCCTAAGCACAGACTCATAAACCTCTAGTAACACTCCTGCCTTTGACTCCATTTGCTGCTCACAAGATACCTTAACGCAAAGATACCTTAACGCAAAGATACCTTAACGCAAAGATACCTTAACGTGGCAGTCAGCATTGTGGTCTGTCCAACTCAAAGAATGAACAGTAACTCAGTAAGATTCACCATTTTTGAATCCGGCCATTTGCCATTCGCCTGCCTCTCCTAAGAAACCTTGGACATCCTCACTTTCCAACCACAGTGACCCAGCTCATTAACTGGTCTCCAAACCCACAGTAAGCTGAGCCTGCTGGATCTATCGCACACAAGGAAAAGCGGGTGGTCCCAGGGTGGGGAATTTAAAACTGCTGCTCTATACAAAAACACACAGCGCAGGTGTGGCCAGTGGCCTTCTGCATTGTACTAGGGGCACGTAATAGGATTAGCCGGGGGTGTAATTCAAGAAAGCATCCTGACAAAGACCACACTACAACACAGCCGGGGTCATCTCTGAGCTTCCCTACTGCACTACAACACAGCTGGGGTCATCTCCGAGCTTCCCCACTGCACTACAACACAGCCGGGGTCATCTCCAAGCTTCCCCACTGCACAACAACACAGCCGGGGTCATCTCCGAGCTTCCCCACTGCAGAACAACACAGCCGGGGTCATCTCCAAGCTTCCCCACTGCACAACAACACAGCCGGGGTCATCTCCAAGCTTCCCCACTGCACAATAACACAGCTGGGCTCATCTCCA